TGGTTGATGTTACTGTTTCGCCGTTCAGGGATAATAGGAACATCAAACTCCCTAAATTTGAACCACGGTGTTTCGATGGAAACCCGGCTGATTATTTACAATTTGTAAAGGAGTTTGAGATCATGTTGAGTGGTTTTTTATTAAATGATGAATTGAAGTTAATGTATTTGATGAGGTATTGCACTGGAGATGCTGCAAGAGCTATACAGTGCTGTAAGTTTATGCCCCCAAAAGAGGGATACGCTGAGGCTATGAGCATATTACGTCAAAGGTTTGGAAGACCTTCAATGATTGTAAGGAACGTATACGAAGCTGTCAAAGGTAATGGCAGCCAACTTCGAGATGACTCCAAGGCACTTACTGAGTTTTTAGATAATCTTATGACTTATAAGAATACCTTGATTTCTATGAATTGCATGAGTGACCTCAACTCGAGTTTTATACTAGAAGTAATAGCAAGACGCCTACCTACTCGACTGCAAAGGAAGTGGGTGAAGATAAGCTCCCGTATGGAGGAAGAGGATATCGATCCAAAATTTGATGATATCCTGAAACTAGTAAAAGATAGTGTCAATCAATCGATGAGCAAGTTTGCCAGTATATTGAATCTCACCCCTAGAATAGAGCAGTCTGAGGGTAAAACGCAATCATTGATGACGAATAGGCCTCAGAGAGGTGGATATCGAGAAGGCTCCATGATGTCTAGTAATGCATATAGACCTAGTGAGTGTAACAGGTTTCGTAGTACATCCTCAACAGATAAGTTACAAGATGCAAGACAAGCACGGTTGTGTTTTACACGTTTGCAAGAGGTGCATACAAAGGTGAACTGTGAACCAGTGAGCAAGTTCAGTGATAAGCTAAATGTAAACTCCAGGCCTGACTCCGAATTGTGTGACGATAACGGTGCGGTCAGGAAGTCTGTAGTTACAACTGGTAAGCCATTGTTGAATAGAGTGTCACAGAATAGAGTTGCTGCTTCAGAGTGCAGTTCTGACCCTACAAGTTTACAAAGTATAACTAGTCAGAGTGAAGTTATAAAACCTTTAATGATTTGTGAGGAGGAGCCAAAATTGTCTACTTCTGTTATTAAAGAGTTTGAAAATGATGAACTTGACGGTAAATTGAATATTTGTGGTAATGATCATGATAGTGCATGGTTGTCTTTGGTTGATCATGATGAAATGGAGGGAATGCCTACTACCGCTAAGTTAAATAAAGGTTCTGTAGAACTTGAACGTGAAGTAGAAATAAATGCAGGTGCAGTTGCAGAAGGCATGCGTACTTGTGAGACCGTCAGTGTGATTGATCAGCATGTAGCCCACCTATCATCAGATGCTAGTGCTAAACCTGAGCTGATAGTAAAAGACAGCAGTGGTGGTGGTCTTGCAGGTAGACAAACTTCTGAAAGTCGAGCAACAACAGCTTTTGATCCACCGCTAACTTCATCAACTGATATCAATCAGTCGTCGTTGGTGCTGTCATCCACAATGAAAAAGACGCCCATCAACTCAAGTATCTTGTCCAATGACTATGCTAGTATCAGTTCGTTTGAAAGGACGAATATCAATGGTCAGTTTAGTGAGGATAAGCCAAGTGTAAACGAGAGAGTAATTGTTAAATTGACTTGCACGAATAAAGGCATTTCTAGTTTCAAGTTACTATTTGAATGTTATTATCTTTGGTGTAAATTACTCTGTTTCTACACTTGGTTGATGAGATATGTCGTGTGTTTGTTCGTCATCTATATTCTACGATACAATGACATGAGTGAGTTGCCGTTCAGATTTGAAGATATAGCTGATAGGAGGAGGTCAGCAAATGAACTCTGCAACGATTTTCCAACCTAGGGCGTCAACCTGAGAAGGGTTGTAGGCGTACTGCTGTAAGTCCTACAATTCTTCAAAGGGTAGCGCATCAATGAGCAGTCCAATGTGCTCGGTGTGTGATTTTGTACATATGTTCATATTGTATATACTGAATTGATATCATCTGTCATCTAGCTGTTGGTAATTCTGTTTGTGTCCGGACGACTTCCACTTGGATCATCAACCTGAGAAGGAATGTAGGCGTACTGCTGTAAGTCCTACAGTTCTTCAAGGGTAGTTTGTCATGCCAGAATCCACAACATTTGATGTGTTGATTGTACATATGTTTGTGTTAAATAATTGTGTGAGTTCCAATTATTGTAATTGTTGGTTAATCTTGTTTGTGTCCGGACATTCCACAACTTACAATCGTCAACCTGTGAAGGTTTGTAGGCGTACTGGTGTTAGCCCTGCGATTCTTCAAAGGAATTCCATCAAGACATGAACTGCGAGTTTGTGTGTACTGTTTGTATATATGTGTGGTGTGTCATATCAATTGGTGTTTTTGGATTCATTGTGTTTACTCGTTGTTTTCGTACCTTGTTTTTATTGCATAATTTTGTTAAAATTTTCGTCGTGATTACTTCTGAAGTTGTTTCGAGTCTTCTACATCCATGAATGAATTGATTGATGTTAAGGACAGCAGATGGGTCGTATACGCCGGGGAGGCTAGGCTATTGCTGAGAATGAAATGCACACGGAGATAATTGTTAGCTGCGGTCCGACACGCCGGGGAGAAAGAGTGTAAACGACTGAGGCTCGCATGCGTCACCGCTACTAGAACTGAGGCAGAATGAGTGACAAGCGATTGCAGTGGTAATTGGTAGTGAGTAGATAAGAGGATGTGCGTAGAGTATCATGGGTTGGTGCTATGGTCACGTTGCATTCTGCAAGAGTCATTCTAGCAAGTGGCGATTGTGTTGCAAGATGTCAAGAGGAGGTCTCTGTCTGGAGGCGCAGGTCGTCAGCGATGTGTGAGATTGTGCTGTGGGTATGCTTGTGGTGTGTTGGCTTTTCTGTTTGTTTTCCATTTCAGCTCTGTCCGTGTGACCCAGGTTCTCGCAATGGCATCCAAGTCAACGTGCATTGGTCGTGAAGGAAAAAAGGGTTGGATCCCTTTTTTGCCGGGGAGTGTCAATGGAGTTGAAGATTGAACGATCAATTCTTGGTTGTTTGCTCAAAATCAACTTCCCCAATTTTCGCGGAGGCATCAATACGACAGTCATCGTCTCATCGGTCGCTGTTCAGAAAGAAGAGTGAAACATCGTCAGAAGTAATACTATGATTTATTATTGTAATATTTGTTCACAGACCTTAGTTCAGTTATTATTTTTATATGTTGGTGTAACAATAAAGAAATCTCAAGCGGCCAATCGGTGTTTTGGTTTTTTCGTCCGTTATTACTAAGCGTTTCTGAAAACTTCAAGGAACAGCGTGGGCCCGAGCGTAGCAAGAGCCGGGCATTAACGGTTTATGAGACGTGATTGACAGCTGCCTTGTGGTGCTCTAGTAAGTGCCGTAGTCCAGGAACAGAGATTTGAGTTGATTCTGACTCTGCCAGGAGTTTATAGACTGTGAGGAATTCACATGTACAGTTTATCGAGCAGCCAATGGTCCGAAAACGTTCCGTTTTCATGGACAGTCTTGTGAGTTGCACTTCATTGAAATATTTAGGAAAACCATTGAAAACAACGAAGGTGGGCTCGTTGTTTTATCTGGATTTAACCCAGTTCTCCTTTGTAGTAAAAACGTTTGCAGGTCACGAAAGGTTCTCTCGGAAACCGTGCACTACACTGAATTTTTCTGTTACTAAATATGCTATGATAGCTTACTTAATTAGTCTTTCCAGCATCTTAATCAGGGTGCTGGAAGGACTTATGGGTTCGCAGTTTGAAGGGCAGAGACTGGATACTGTCATAGGAATGGGAATTATTAAGGTCCTTTTTCAGTCACTCAGTAAGTCTGTTTTAGAGAGATAGCCTGAAAACCGTAGCCAGTGAACCAGATATGTGAGCTCTGGGCTCCCTGAGAAGCCTTGGGAGAACGTCATCGGCCCCCACTGATATCTCCGTGTGCTGTTTTTGTCGACTGCAGCAAGACGTCAGTATCGACAAGATATATCTCGTTTACTCTGGAGCTGATGTTATGAGTTGTGATGACTTCATTTTGAAAACTCTGGAGAATCATTCCATCACTGGTTTCGCATTTTTCCGATCCTTTTTGATTGTATCGGCACAAAATGTCAGGTGTGGGATTCCACCGAACCTACTATTCCTGGTTCATTCACTAAAACATTTTCTCTGGCGAAGGCACTGCGTCTTCAACTAGATAAATTTCAAACCTCATCCGTGATCATCTTACTACTGCATTGGCCGGTGTGTAACGTCCTGACAGCAGAAATCTCAGGTATGATAAACAGGTTCAAGCATTTCTGCTTATGCTCGAGTAACCCACAAATATCTAAGTTCATCAATAGGGGACAAAGTTTTCGGCCCTATGGGACATGTCAAAAGATGAAGGATTAGGTTACCGATGTATAAATTTACTTGAGCCCACTCCAAGCACTTTTTTCCAGACACTCTAGATTTAGATCTCTCTCCTCTAATGAAGCAGCAGAAATGACGACACTTACGTGGTCTTTCAGACGTCTGGTAGAGCTGGAGGCTCGCTTCAGGATACTACTCCAGATGTGAACATCAGCTTGAATAGGATGATCGCTCCTTCTTAGTAGTTGAATATGTTGTATGAGTTTCAAATCCCTATTGTGGGAAAAAGGGTCCAGGGATGATCGGGAGTGCTGCAAATTATAACGCGAAGATTTCTTGTCGTGCTGAGCTACGGATAGTGAAATGGAAGACTGCATCACTTTGTTATCACATCACGTGTATGGAGATGGCATCGTAGGGCTTATACAGTGAATCGATGAGAAATAGAGATGGCCAGCTGTAAGATTCTGGAACTTTAATGTCCATAAGCAAAGTTTCTCTATGAGAGAATTGTTCGCAGTGCGCTCAGGTCTGCGATGAGCCAACAAACCGCCATTTACCCACAAGAAAATTAGAATTAATTTTACTAAATAAACGCAAATTATATTACTCCCTACTTGTTGAATATGTAAAACGGTAGTCAACTCACCAATTAAAGTGTTCAATGTAGCCATCTGAGTCTGAAAAGTACCTTCGTTTCCTCACCAGTTTTACGCGCCAGATTCACCACACGACATGCCTCCCAAGCTTGATCCATCTGCTGTGACTTACTGTAAGTTCTGGCTTGATTTCTTCTATCTTCTCAGGTTATTTGAGAGTTATTGGAGGTGAAGTTGGGGCTACTTCATCGTTAGCACCTAAAATTGGTCCTCTTGGTTTGTCACCAAAAAAGGTTGGCGATGACATTGCAAAGGCCACTCAAGAATGGAAAGGACTACGTATATCTGTCAAACTGACAATTCAAAATCGACAGGCAACAATAAGCGTCGTACCAACGGCTTCTTCCCTTATTATCAAAGCCTTAAAGGAAGAGCCACGCGACAGAAAGAAGGTAAAAAATATCAAGCACAATGGGAATCTTACATTTGATGAGATTTTGGAGATTGCACGAACAATGCGTCCCAGAAGTATCGCTCGTGAACTCTCCGGAACAGTTAAGGAGGTTCTTGGTACTGCCCGGTCAGTTGGTTGTACAGTGGATGGTGAATCTCCTCAAGTCATTATTGAGAAAGTGAATGCTGGAGAAATTTCTGTACCTGCTGCTTAAACTTCAATAAATTATTGGTACGTGAATGAACGTTTCTCATTAGAGTTCCTACAAGGATAAGCCACCATACTGGCTAGCTATAGCTAAACTGTAGGTGCCCTATCTCGGTCAATGATACATCAATACCCACTCTTCATTAAATCAAGATTTCTTAGCTCAGAAGGTCCAGTGGTGGATGTATTATGTCGTGGAATCAAGGAAGAGTTATAGATCCGTATCGGAACTTGCAGGGGCTCACTTCTCAACGTTGTTGATTGCGTATTGTTAAACCTGTTGTCGAGCGAAGCAGGTGTTTGGGGGACATTAAATGTAAAGCATTTGTCAGTGTAACAAGAGTTCATTTGCTGTGCCTAACGAGTGTGTGCTTAGACTTTATGACTGTTACAGTGAATCTAGTTTGTTGAAAAATAAATAGATTTTGTGGTTGTGAGGTACAAACTAGTATAGGATTAGGCTTGTCCTGGACGACCCTGGGAATAAGGTCGACAAGGTAAAAGGCATTCACTATTTTGTAGCCTTATGATTGGGAAGTTGAATTCTCCCTACTTGGAGGAATGATATAGAGCCTCACTATAGTCTAACTCATTCAAATGGAAATAGACACATCACTTACAATCTTATCTGGACCACTGCATTGTCGTCTTTTTTCTCCCAATCGCATTTGTCTGAGAAAAGTTGGAGCTGTGGTCTGACATCTCGCTTATGTCATTCGTTTTTAGGGGTTTTAGGTATTCTACAAGTCATGGGATCACATAGTTACAATTAATATGCATTACTGATCGCTTGATGTTTGCGTTTCACACACCAAAGTTGCGTTCATACCAAAACTGAAGTTTCGGTTAACATGATTTGACACCTCATTATTTCGTTTTTCGTCCACGAACTTATGTGTTAGCATCTTATTTTTATATGTTGTCTGGAAACATTGAAGTTTTCCTCGTATGTCGTAAACAATTTCATTCCAAGGTAATTTTCTTCAGCAGTAATTCAGATACTCGTTTTCAAAAGTAATAATTTTTGTTAGTCCAAATATGTGAGAGTAGTCACTCAAAATTTGTTTCTTTATGAGTGTTCGTAAAAGATTGTGCAGGGAATCCATTTGATTTCTGTAACAAAACCAGATGCTTAGATGGATGTACATATTATATGAAGGCACAAAGATGATGATGAAGACTGAGTATATTTAGATTAGTACTAGATAGCTGTTTTAGTAGCATTGCCAGTTTTCTTACCATAATTGTGAACTTTCCTCTTTTGCTTGTTCTTTTTAAGTTGGTAGGTTGTTGTTCACACCTCTGTAAGTCTTGAGGTAAACTAACCAGTTTGAGATTTAGATGTGAAGACATGAAGTCTTTGTCATAGTGCCACAGTTGCTTCTAAACACGGCAGATATTCAATCATATTGCTTTTTTGCAGCATACGTGCCATTGGAACTATCCACTCAGCCGTTCAAGTGCATAACATTAAAAGTGTTGTAGTAATCGAGATGCCATAGTCTGTCCTTGTGAAATCTTAAGGCAGTCGGTGTGGTTTCATTGTATAATCATTGGCTCAAATATGTAAAGAATGTTATTACAGGCGAGGACTTGATTTGCACCAGTTAAAATGGACTTACCTTTGGAATCTCAGTCGTTTGATATATTTGCTGTCTAAACACGATGTCAGATGGAAGTCAGTCATTTTGGCTTTCGAGTAAAATTAGTCTCACGCTGTTTAATATAGATAGTACTTTACCGTTCCTCTCACACGAGTCAGTGTAAGTCTTCAAACAGAAGTGTCATTTCAAGTTGGCACATGATATAAAGAAACAAAGACTGGGAACTGTACCATACTAACATTAGTGCAACAAAGTGGATGAACAAATGAAGATTAGTGCTTTTCAGAATTTTGAAGATGAGAAGGATTGCATACACCTGTACCACGGTAAGTGATTCTAAGCCTTGTCACGAACTATCTCCATCCATTGTTTCTTAGCACAGTGAATACCCCAGTCGGAAAATTCTCTACGTAGATCAAAATAAGATAGTCGCTTCATAGATTAATGTCATTTCTTACACTGACCATGTGTGACCTCCAAATTATTCCTGTTCTGTTTAACGATCCCTTCTGAGAGAGGCGGTTCCTCATTGAACACATCGCGTATTCCGGAAATTCCAGTCACAACTTCATAACATACTCTCGGTGCCCTATAATATATCTAGTCATTTAAAATGTTTCACTTAACGTAAGCAAATGAAAATGGCACATGATCAACGGCCTGTAGTCCTTTTGTATCTTCCACTTGCAGCCGTGAAGTAAGAGAGTGGAAAGCCTAAACAGTACATTCTTTTTGATGAGTAGCTGCATGTGAAGTGTGAGGAATAGATGAACCAAGGTGGAGAAAAGCACAGTATTATTGCATCGAAAATTGATGGTTTTAAATGAAGTTTAGATGCTGTTTAGGATATCTGGAACGCTTAATACTTAATTTGAATACGGACAATAAGTTGGTAGGTGTCATACTTTTGACCACATAAATTGCACTGTCTCTCACACTGCATGTTCATTTATTCAGTTAACTACGAACTCTGAATAAATATCAGCACCACCGGAATATCTGTGTTCACAGTTTCGTGATTACGTATCTGACCTTTCGTAATCACTGAATGTTTGACTTCATTTTCGGTAAAGTGAATTTTCAGTGAGAAGTGGTTTTCATTATTGTTATAAAAGTACCTTTGATTTGTATAGAAGGAGTAAATTAAATGTGAATCAATATATGATTTCTTAATTTTTCTGGTTGAAATCTGTTTCTGAGGATTTAGTTCTTATATCATACATGGAGTCTAAATGTTGGTTTGCGTTGCCAGATAAATATAATATATTGGGATTTACTAAAGGGCTTGTGTTGTTTTCATTGGATTTTCTCTTTGTATCTGTTATATATGGCAGTCCGATTACAGTGATATAGTCATATATAGTGGTCAGCTGGTGGGTAAAGTATTACTTATATAGTACAAAGGAGACCAATAAAAAACTCATATTTTTTGTCGTTGTGCTAAGAAAACACATGCTTAATAGACGCCAGTTTTATCTATTTTTAGCCACATGACAGTTCGGACAAGCATAGTAAAGAAACGGCGACTCACCTAATAGATGTTAACTTAGCACATTTCTGATATAATGTCCGCTACTCATAAACTAGCTACTCCACTTTATATAATCAGCGGTGATTGGCTTGGAAGTCTCATGTATGATATCCATAGAAAACATAAAATATGTGGAAACTGATTTTCTGAGGTGATTATAGCTCCAGGTTTGATTACTCTATGTTGTTGGACTGTTCGAAATATACTGTATGAAGTGATTGTTAAGCGATCAAATTAGATTTGAGCTAGCTTTCCTTTCATAAATCGTGACAGTTTCGTCTGCTTATTCACTTCTGAAGTGATTTTCTAGGTAATACATTAATGTCAACACACATTTTAGTGGCTGTCTCAAGAATGTAGTAGATTGTAAGGGAAAATATGTAAGGGTAATTCCTGACTATAAATAATTAGCTATATGGTCTTAATCTGTGTTGTTTCTGTGAATGACTTCTAAGATACAAATTAAAACTCAGGTTATTATGTAATAATGATTATCCAGCTAAATGAGTACTGAGTGAAGATTTTTGAACGAAGAAAGAATGAACAATATTCTCAGGATAGCACGAGCTCATTTTATTGCACGGATTCTTTCCAACTGCATACACTTTAAACATTATCAAAATATAAGTTACAAAATTTCTGAAAATGCCTTTTTCACAGTGATATCGATTTATGGATAGAAAGTATCAACAACATAATTCCGGAATGATGTAAGTACACAAATTATTCAGCGTTAAAACGGCAATTATTTATAATATAATTAAATAATAGGGATGACGACAGAGCTCAGACTTGGCGTAGAAACTAGAAAAAGAATGTAAGATCCAACGACATATAGATTTTCTAGATAATACGGTGGAAAGTTCAAGGGTGTGAGATTGGGAGGTAACAGTAAGGTCATGACGTAGAAATACAGTTAAGTAAATTTGAAGACTTAACAATGAGTTAACCTCAGTAAGTGAAGATCAAAATATTATGCAATAGGTCTAAACACGAACAAAACAGTCACAGTTGCCAGGGTTCTCTTCACTGAACTCGTTCTTGTTCCCCCTAGTACTTTCAGAGATATTCTTTCCTAATAAGGCTCTTTTTAATAATCGTGACTTCCTCTTCCATCTTATTTCCTAAACACTAACCAGTCGACGTTTCTTTTCTGTAGACTGGTTTTTTAATCGTCCCATTATTTCTTTTAATGTTGATAGTTAGGAAGTCAAACTGGTCGTCATATTCATGACCCACTGTAAATTAAATGTAAGGATAAGCCGCATTAGGCTTTTCTAACATCATGGGTGTGTGGTCCATACTACTGCAAACCACAAACTTGTCGTCAACATACTTGGAGTAATATATGGTCCCCTCTGTTTCCGACTTCATTCGAGTTTGTTCAAGATGGGCTATAAATATATCCCCAAGGACAGGACTCAGAGGCGAACCCATAACTACCCAATTAATTTGCCGGTACAACTGGTTGTTGAACCGGAGCAGAACATTGTTCATGCAAAGAAATAGTAGTTTTTGTTGGTCATTTTCGGGAAAAAGAAATAGTTCAGACTACTGGTATATGATTTTCACGGTTTCTCCAATCAGTACGCTTGTAAACAGTGAATAAACGTCGTACGATACTAGGAGTTAGTCTGAAATATTCAGTTGATCTAATTCTTGTGAAAAACAAACTCAAAACTAGATAAGTACTTAAAGCAAAAATGTGTCAGAATGGAGGAGTAACTAATAAGTGTCGTATGTTGTAACCAAAATTAGTCGAATGATGGTGAATCTGCTGCATTTCAAACAATTTTATCAGATACTCGAGTATTATTCGACCATACATATAAGATAGAATTTCAAAATATCCTACAGTTTATCTGTAAAAGTTATCTCTTACCTTAATTTTCTGTAGTTTGCCATTGACTGACAGGTTGCAGACCGACTGATGTACCAGAATAGTCCGACGTGACAAGAAGGTGTCTTCTCACTAGATTAAGGTTGTAGTGGTCTTTGCATATAAGGAGGTTATCGGATGTTTCCAACAGACGGACAGCATTCTGATGGTTTTTATATATTGCTGTTGCATAACAATAATTTTATGCTTATACTTTATTAGTGTCTTCAACTGTTATTTCTCAAGATTAAGGGTAAATTATTAAAATTCCAAATCCATTAAGAGAAAAAATAATTCCAATGGCTTCTTTTGAAAAGAAGAAACAATTTCCTTGAATAAATTTTGTTTACCATTATTTTTTCCGATGAAGGGTCAAGTACTCATGAACACTGACGGATGTGCCTAAGACTGTCATTTTGAAAACATTTCTCTCTGTAGAAAAAAACTTTAAAACTTACTAAAAGTGAGGAGAAAAGAGCTTTTTAGGGTTTAAAAATTTCATTGGGACTTTCTGAACTGTCAGTATACACCCTTAATTCTGTGAACCATCAGTTAGTGTTATATATATATATATATATATATATATATATATATATATATATATAATACCATCCTTATTCAGGACATCTCTACATAATTTGTGGAATTCTCAGCGTGATTTATAGCACAATACTTTCCCATCATCCAGGATCTTCAAGTAAATTTTTAATCCACAGTAGATATGATGTCTGTCTGTCTGTATTCGACATAGAACTTTGCACAAATGTGCGGAAGTTCAAGTCGCCACATTCCGTGTAGCACGCGAAGCAAGAGAAGAAAGTACAAGAAAAGCATAATAGAAACAGTGAGCAGAGGTGTGAGACAAAGGAGTAATAAAGAAATACAAAACAGTTTCATTGAAGATCATAAGTCACAGGGAGTGGATGCATCTGCGCCACTGAGAACGGTTTTGAGCCATGTCACCAATTGTTTCCAACCATAGATTTTTACCGTCCCGAGGACCCCAGCCTGGAAGTCTACACCTTCCTACGTGGCTTAGACCAACTGTTGTGGATTTCATTGACTGATGCCAAGTTTTTGTTTGACCGCCGCTAGCTTTTTTCCAGCCTGACCCTATATCCGCTAACATTGCTCGTCGAGGGAGGCGATGGCTTGGCATACGTAACACATGTCCTAACCATCTCAGTCTTTGTAGCTTCACGACTTCGTCGATTGATTTCCCCTGTTTACCTAGAACTCTACACCTAACCTCCATGTTGCTCACCTTATTATGGCACTTTACACGGGAAATAGAGCGCAGGCACCTATGATCAAAGACAGCTAGTCTTTTCATGTCTTCCACTCTCAGTGGCCAGGTCTCACAGCTGGCCATAAAGGAGGACGGAGCGGACTGATGAGCAGTACACCCGCCCTTTGGTCGATAGTCGAACGTCTCGTCTACGCCGGAGTCGGCGTAAACTGGCAAATGCGAAACGAGCCCCCTGTATTCGTGCTGAGATTTCGTCAGAGATCAGCCCGTTGGGGCTGATGGTACTTCCCAAATAAGTGAAGCGGTCAACGTGCTCCATCACTTCACTTCCTATTTTGATTTGATTTGATTTTTGATTTACAGCTTGATTCCACACTGTATTTTTGGTACAAGTATGGAATTTTCAGCATGGATATCGGTAGCCCAAATTTTGCAGGCCGACCATAGATATCAGGTGTGCGCCGGCGTGGGCTCGAACCCCGGACCATGTGCATGGTCGGCGAGAGTCCTAACCGCCGTGCCACCGACGCACTAGGCGTCGATGTAGTCCAGTCCTGTAACATCATTTTGCATTTGGCGGGAGCGAATCGCATGCCAAACATTCGTAGATTGCGGCTCAAGGTGTTTAGAAGACTCTGCATTTCGTCAGCGTCTTCGCCTAGAAGGACTATATCGTCTGCATATTCCAAGTCAACGAGATTATTCCCAGGTAGCAAGTCAATCCCTGAATCGCTGAAGTCACCTAGGGTTAAGTCCATTAACACATCTATGATGAAGTTGAATAGAAAAGGAGATAATGGGCATCCTTGACGGACACCACTGGTCGTCATCAGTTCAGATGACAGCTCGCCGTAAGCCCTCACCTGGCTGTATGAGTATGTAATACTTTTCGATCAGAAGTACATTACCAATCCCTTATGATTTTTTCCTGTCGTTTCTGGGAAATGAACAGTGGTAAGTAGAGTGAAAGCCGATCAAAAATGTTTGCGAACACATTTGTTGACTGAAGTACAAAACTGAATGATAAAAGCAATAAGAGACAGACAGTTTGAAGAGTTGTGTTGGATGGAAATTTAGGTCGCCTGGTGATTCAAACAAGCCGTCTTATTTTTCTTTGTTAGGCATTTATATGTCGACAAATCTTCTGAGGGATAAAAGTCTTCTGCGTATTGAAATAATTCATGTGATCCTTTTTTCTAAAAACCCTTGCTTTTATTGGATTAAATGAGAAAAGAAAGATGGTTTGTAGGGATTTGATTGATTGGCTACCGGATTTCATGATGAGCTGACATCGGCTACAGAACCATTGAGAAACTTGAGAGTTCTGGACAACCGTTTCGTCCTAGTTTGGAACTCTTCAGTAGTACCCACCCATCGGGGTCCGAACCCAGGATTTCCCGGTTACAAGGCCAGCAAGCTCGTAGACCACCGAGCCACTGGGACCCGATCCAATGGCCAGTCCATGAATTTCACTTTCTGTCAATTCAATCACTAGCCAGTGTCATACATACATACATATTACATACTCGCCACGTATGACACTGGCTAGTGGTTAAGATATATCTTGAATTGACAGAAGTTGAAATTCATGGACTGGCCATTGGATCGAGTCCCAGTGGCTCGGTGGTCTACGAGCTTGCTGGCCTTGTAACCGGGAAATCCTGGGTTCGAACCCCGATGGGTGGATACTACTGGGGAGTTCCAAACTAAGACGAAACGGTTGTCCAGAACTGTTAGGTTTCCCAGTGGTTCTGTAGCCGATATCAGCTCATTATGAAATCCTTTAACCACAAGGATGATGCTTATTTAAATGAGAATCGTTATTTTTATTGACTACTGAACCGAATGACTAAATCTTCACCTTTTATTCTTTTGGTAAAAAAATTAGAAAAGTCATCCTAACTGATTCTTGTATACTTTAGGGCAGTTCATCAGAATGAGAACTGGCTCAAAGTGTGTTAAACATCAGATGATATTCACCAAATAGATTGTACTTTTCCAACATGATCATTACTGTTGTTATTCAAATAATTTTGAAGTGAGTTTGTGTGTTCTTTCCTCATTTTTTTAGCCTACAAGCTTGACCATGCTAATAAAATGTTGAGTTGATGCCTTTCTAGTTTACTTATATTTTCAAAGGTGCTCAGTTTTTGAAAGTGATAACTTCTCCACTCATGCTTCAATGAAAGTATTGTCACCAACTGGGATATAGAAAAACCTAAATGGTGGGTTTGATAGAGGTCAGGGAATACGCCTCTTGATCGCAATAGAAGCCACCTTTCAAGCCTGTATTCAAGTGAAAATAATGGTGATGTGGTAGTGTTCCATTATATTTCTTAAAGAAAAGAAAAACCAAGATTGAAAAGCATAGCATATTCACGCATTCTTGAACAACTTCAATTTGTGTTTAGTTTCATTGGCTACTAATGAGTAGCATATGAAGTTGTCCGAAATTATGGGAAATCGTAAGCATACTACTTATTTACGATACGATTTTCTTCGTTAGGTGTCAAGTTATAATGTAATATTTTGCTATTAGGATAACAAATACAGCTAAATTACTTGTTTTGAGTTTTTCTACAAAGCATTGACTAGTGTGCTTCACCAGTTAAAGTGAGTTAGCGAAACGTTTGATATCAGATGTTAATAGTGCTAAATTACACTTTTACAGAGAATAAAAATCACCAGCCATCGCATTCCTATTGAGCAGCTGGTTATGCCCATCATACCTATTGATCTTCAGTTCCATCCTATTTGATATATCAGTTTGATCTTTTGCATAACATTTACTGCCTGTATAGAGTCTCCAAGTAAATATTCATCGGCAGTAATATCGTACAAGGCAACGTCATTTGATCTGAAACAAGACAGCCCTCTACGAAATTCTTGCCTCATATTATTTGGAAAACACAGAGCGGTCAGTTGGAAGCCAAATGAAAACTTGTATTTAAGTTCATGTTGCGACCCAAGGACATAATTGGAAAAGTAAAACAAGTAACCAAGAAAAATATACACATTATGCTGGATGGAAATGTAGGTAGTTTAGGCAGGCCGCCATTACTGGAGATTTTCAGACTTTGATTAGGCAACCTACTCAACAGTGTTTAGTAAAATGGATTATAACTGACTGGCAATGGTCCTCCATATTTTATATCTAACGGAAGTTTGCTCATATCTTTTATGTTACCATTTTTATATATTTATTTTTATATCCATATGTATTGGTTACCATCTGGTGACTTGTAAGTGCAGAGAATATTTTCCGTCGACACCAATTAGGACTCTCTATCAGGTTATGTCAGAATAAAGTTGATACTATTCTGCTTTTAGAAATCAGTTACTCGGAACAGATTCTTTTGGCCTTAGCCACACTTATTGTGTGAGACCTGATAATACTGATCACTCGCCCATACTGAAGTAGATAGAGCAGGATTCGAATCCAGAAGACACTGACTGAAAGCCGAGTAATTTAGCCAGTGAACTGTGTTCCCAATGTACTAGTTTTGTGGCGCTTTTTGCTGACAAAATTTATAAGTAGTAGTATACAGATACGGACATAAGACTATCCAATGACAGAGAGATGGATTTAATGAACGATGCCTGTGGAATAGCATGGAAGACACGAAAGGAAGACAAAGAAGCACAAAACGGGAGACAAAAGTAACTCAATATCGAAGACATGGTAGACGTATTTTGCCTATATCTGCACACTGAGTGCTAATAAATAAAGCATTTCTCTTGTATTCCAATGTTACAGTATGATAAAATTCGCTTGACTCGGTAACCGGACGTTATGAAGGATTGAATGTATTTTCGTCACCTCCTGTAAAAAGAAAGTGGTGATGAAAAGAAATATGCGTTGTACTGCTACCTATGTATATATAAAACATAAAATCTCGCAGGTTTCAGGCATTACGTCTTTGCTTATACTTCACCGTATTTTGTATTGTTTAGTTTCCCCCATCTAGAATAATTTTTCTTTAAATATTATTACTACCTGAAGGAAACATTTTGTACAGACTATTTGAAAGCTACCTAATTATGGTAATTGGTTCAGGCTTATGTCAGTTAACTGACTGAATCATTTTAACAGATTGGAAATGTCATTTAAAAGAAACTTAACTTTCATATAATAATTACCTTCCACAAAAGAGAGATTGAAAGTCTCTTTTGATTTGTTTTATGCCATGTCGACAACTTCTACTTCTATCTATCTCAACTAAATAAACTTAAATCAATCACTTTATTTACAAAATATTAGCATAATTGAAAGAGTAGAAATTTATATCTAACATGTTCAAGTTCAATAATATGCCAAAAAATAAGAACATTTCAATTGTTTAAATAGGCATTTATCTAAAAATAAAAAATAAAAATAGAAATTAATTAAAAATGAAGATGATTGGAAATTATTAGCAATAGAATATGGCCATTCTTTTGTAGGAATTAATATCACAATGGTAATTCACAACTAAGTGTACAATTAACTCAGGGAGCAAGAAGTTTTATGTATGACATTTAAGTTGAACTGTAAAAACAAGGAAATGTTGAAAAAACAAACAAATAAACAAGTAAACAGAAGTAAAGATTTTCTTTCTATCTGATGGTAATGATTTGTTTGTCTTTCCCTCCCTCTCTCTCTCTGTGCATTATCATCTAATCTTGTAAAGGAATGACAGAATATCAACACCACACATTCAACGAAATGCCAAATAAAGAAGTTTCTATTTGAAAATGTCAACAATTTCGACATTATTGAAAAAAAAACAGCTTTGTGTGTTTTTCCTTTGTTTTGTTTAAGCTGTTGATGTATTTTTTTTATTATTGCATCTTAAATTCTACATTTGTTGATACACTTTATTTACCAAATGGCAATTTTTTTACATATATAGGAAGATGAATTTTAACACTTGATTTAATTTTCAATATAAACAGGTAGAAATAGAGAGTAATTAAATGCAGTACAGGAGCTATCATTATTTAAAGTTAATTTCTGTGCTTTAAAGTAACGATTATTCTGATGTGAATATGGAAGATTGCCTACTGTTCGTTAATATAATTCAATATTTTCAGTGGTATTCTTCAAATCAGATTAAAGCTTTAGTTGATTTTTAATCTGTATCATTAACTTTATCTAGAAAACAGATTTATCTCTAAGATACGAGTTAAGTTAGCATTCTTTTTAGTAGAGCGAAAAATTAAATACCTAGTAAAATAAAATAAGAATAATAGTTGAGAAAGATCATTTGAAATAGCTTGCAAAAGATTAGTCATAAGGAAAAACTTATTTTGAAGCATACAGAGGAAAATACTTATAAGAAAAGAAAGAGTTTTTATTGGAAAGGGAACTTTAGTCCCTTAGAGTTTACAGTTATGCCTTGATGATAATCTCTAGTATGCATGAAGCTTAGGTTTAACGCTTTTTACTGATTTCCTCCAATCATTCGTCATCAATGTCAAAGGTGTGTGCTTAGTTCATAACTGGTATCTTGTTCTTGTAGGACAGAAGAGATATACTCAGTTAGTTGTTTGCCACTTTCTTGTCCCAGAAAATATATCGAAATTATTAACTGGATGGCGTTTTTGTTGTAAGAAATTTCAGGGCAAAGATAATTATAGCCTTAAATATCGAGTATTAATTATGTTTTTTTTCAGGGATTTTTAGATTACAAAGACCTGAAAGATGTTTGGACTACCGTGATTCACAAAATTTACCTGCGTGAGATGTTAGTAAGTGGACACAGGAACTCGTAAAGGAAATATGCATGACCTTTTATTATTACTTTGAGGAATTTATTCTAAATATATTTAAGAATATTTTCTTGCACATTTATAAATCAGTTTTAACTTACTGGTTCATTTGTATTCGTACCTTATGTGATTCTTCTGTTTATTACAGCTATCTTTCACCCTTTTTCTCAATATATACTAGTGATTGCAATATGAGATTTGCCATTAGAATTATTGAAAGATATTTAGCGCGCTGATTTTCACAATAGATTGAAGACTATAATTTTTTTGTATTGTGTTAAATATCCATTGAATTCTCAGCTTTCCCTCTACAAAGAACGAGGTGTTATTTTAAAGGAGGATTAGATATTTGAACTTTACCTATATATTCCCAAGATTGTGCTTTGATAAACAAGAATTTTTGTGTGGCGCTTGTAAATTATATTATTTGGTACAAGATAGTAAACGATTTTATATAATTTTTTATTTCATTACTCTATTAGTTCTCGTAATATGTAATTAGGTTGATAATTGTGCATTTCATTCAAGTGTATTTCATCTAATGATAAAGTGTATAATGGAATTACTGAACCATGGAAATTTAATAAAAATGTTTGAACCCACTCAACCAAATTCGATATAAGAACACTTACTGAATGATGAATTTGGGTGGTAATGCATCTATGTGACTGATTGGTTGGAGTTCGGGAAAATGAAGCATTGTATTCAGAGCTAGAAAGTGGGAATTAACATGCTCTTTAATATACTTTACAGTTATGGAATGAACCCTTTAACTGGTTCTAGAAGTGCTCACTTAACAGTATTCAAATAAGTAACAAAGGTTAATGAAGTGATATTTAATGTGAATTCATAAAATTTTCGTAGAATTCTTCGCCTGAATGCTCTACATAAATTTCTGGATAAGCCATGAGAAAATGCGAAAAATATTTGATGAATCCATTAAACTGTACTTAAGTAACATTTAGTGCGTTAATGGCACAGCGGTAGAATGCTCACCAACCACTCAGGTGTTTCGGGGTTCTATCCCTAGCCGATGCACTCCTTTACCTCGCTAGGCCAGTAATACGACTCTTAAAGAGGGAAGGTTAAGCATGAGACTAGCAACCGCATCCAGTAAAAATAAGTAACACTGTTACAGAGACTTTAAAGCTCTAGCTTGAAGCCCTTCGTTCCACCGGGGATGTAAAGGAATAAAATACAAGTATAATTAACATTTGTTACTTTTTGCAAATTCGTATTGGGAACATCTTTCTAGGTTTCTAGTGAAAAAAAAACCAGTCGTTAAGCATGAACTTACTGGTCAAAGATATCATTCATATTATTTTTATTTTTTAAACTACTAGTTTTGAAAAATAAGTGAGAGAGACGATAATATCATCATGCTTAACGAAATACACAATTCCATGGGCTCCTACGAAGAAATTACTGATATGAATGAGCCAGAAGCGCTTTTGATCAGTGAAGATAATAGCTAAAATAATGTAACTGAAAGGTGTCCAGGAAACAGTTTTATATCAGAGGACACTTTCATGCCAACAAAGTGCACTTAGGCATTGAACTAATCCTTGATATCAACTTAAAAGTAAACTAAATTTCCTATAGAGAAGTAAAACTTCTTAAAATCAGAATGATCTTCATCTCTAGTGAATTTCTACAATCAGTAGTATGTATTTTTATATTAAAATTCATTAAATATATGACTGACAAATACAGAGTTTTAAGGTATATAGGATGTGATTATCTGATGTAAAGTTATTAAACTGTGAATAAATATTGGCCTGTTCTTTTGCTTCTATAAGTCATTTTTAGTACTTATAGTGATAACCTTTTTACTGTAGTTGTAAGCATAATGAATGTCAAAGGATACTTCTGCTTCATTCAAACTGATCTTACTTTCAGCAGTAGTTGTTCTGCTTTGATTAATGATAATATTTTGTCTGTGTAGTAGTAGTCCTGTTGAAATGGACAAAAGTTGACAGATATCTTAATTTAGTATAATATATTTTTTGTTTATCTTTATATCTTTTGACAGCGAATAATATGTAACTGTTGTACTTCAAAAGACTTAATAGTTG